AATTATATAATTATACAATTATTATAATTATTATATATTCTCATTTTCTAAGTGATTATTTTCTTATTATAGTATCTATTATATATTGCGTATTTTTATATTTTAGATATATAATATATCTTTAGATATATTTATTTTATATATTCATATGACATCTCTTCTTATATTGCAATACTAAGCGAAAGAATGTTGTGTGTTTTTTTCGAAAACTTCGTCGTAATATTATTTCTGTCTGTTATTTTTTTAATAATATATAGAATAGTTTATATACTCAAAAAAAATTTTTATCACCTCATTTTTAAATTTTATCTTTATAAAAATTACATTTCTCTTATTATCATCATCATTTATAACATAATAAAGATTCTACTGTAATATAATATATTAATGCTCTCGAATGATTCTTTTTCATAAAGTAACAATTTTTTAATATCTGAGATATGGAAAATGAATGAATTTTTTCATTTGAAGTAAGTAAGTCGTGACGTAATGAAAATACAATTACACTACACCAAGCAGAAAGCCAATAATGAACGACTTTTGCTACATAGGTTTTATGAACAATGGATCATTGCTCTTTGTTATCGTATGGTGTACAGTCGATAAGATTGATCGCTATTACGTCTATCGATCCTTGTGCTAACAAAAATGAGAGAGGTTGTAATTTAAACGAGTGATTCGATTATAAAATTTAATGTATCATCGCTTGTATGTAATTTCTTAAAGTTTTTCTTAAAGTTTTCTTAAAATTTTAAAACATTATTTTAAATTTTACAATATATTTTAATTCTATATATTTATTTAAATTATTATATAATCAAGCACACAAAAATATGATAACAATAGATAAGAAAAGTATTTGATATAAGTTTTAATTAACTATTTCTATTATTATAAAAATATAATTTTTATAAATACAAATACAAATACCACATTTGTATTAATACATATGCTACATATTGAGCGATAAAATGCTAAAATCGAATCTATACACATCTCATATATTACTATATCTTGCTGTGACTAATAGCTGTGTTTAGCTCTAAAGCATTCCTCTCAAGCGCAATATGCCGCTTTGTACCGCATTACACTCATCGGTAATTAAATTCCCCGTAAGCTTCGACATACATAGTAGGAATTCACGAATGTGTATGCGTACATGTGTGTGTTGTATGTACATGTATGTATTTAATTCTTTGTTCTTTTTGACAAAAGTCAAGTAAAAGATGAACTTAAAGATGCGTAGTCGTCCAAGCATAAGTCTAGAATGACCAGATATATTCTTTCAAAGAATATAACTTTTTTGAATAAAAAAAAAGTATAAATATACTTCGCCTTTTTTTATTTTATTTTATTCTTTTTTGTTTTTTAAAAATGTACTCTGTGTACTCTTTTTTTGTTTTTGAACAAATTTGAATGTAATGGGATTATGTGTTGAAAGAATCATACTAGGTTTGTTCCTTTTCGCTACATAAGAATAATACCAACTGCATTAATTTGATATTAAAACTTAATAACATTAAATACATACGTAAGCATTATTTTATTTTGTGTTTTAGTAAATATGTTAATTACAGAATACAAGATATCATCTATTTAGTTTTATGAGATTATCCGTATGTTTATAATATTAATAAAAAAATTAATAATAAAAAAACTACAATTTTGTGCAAAATTTTAGAGTTTTCGACTCTATCCTCCTACTTAACTAATCTTTGAATTCTTCTTCTAGCCCTACATGAATCCAAACCAACGTTTACCGAGTTTAGGAATCGAATTAATAACATTGCGAATATAAACAAGCCCAATTGTACATTGACAAATATATTCTATCTCACTCATTCATTGGATAATTTACTCGTTCGTCCTTGCTAATATAATTTTAACTTTAATATATTTTCAGAATTTAGTTTTATGAATTTAGTTTCTTCTTTTCTCACTTATTAAGTATTACTTTGTCATTATCCATAGTATTTTTGTTTCCTATAAATATATACATTTATAATATAACAATAATATAATTATTTAAATATTATACGTAAATCTTCGTTGCATTCGTTATAATATAAGAGCTTAATCTGATAAGAATTGAATCTGAATGAATTAATATTTTTTCTGATTTTTCCTAATATCTTAATATCTTACTACTCTTTTTAAAAAAAATGTAACAAATTATTGAAATAACTGTACTGTATTTTTCAATGAACTCAAAAAAGTATTAAAGAATATGATAATTATTATTAGTTTTTGCATCTTCAGTTATTAAAGCAATTATTATAAAACCAACAATATAATAATAACGTAAATGTTGTAAATTTTGTACAATTCTTCTTAATAAATTTTTAATAATATCTTGCATGTTGATAGATATTTGCATGCTATAATTATTTATCTCTCCTTAATATTGAAGAAAGAATGATCAATTTGTTAAAATTTATAATTATTATCAAATTGCAGTAGAAAAAGGATTTTTTTCAGTTAGACATAGTTAATCATCTGTCTTAAATTAATTGATAGATGTTCGCGATGTGCACATTTTTTATTTCCATTTTGCAGCATTAATTAATTAGCTATTTATTAATGAGTACATAATTTATTTGAAATTGCTTTAGAGTATCATAATTTCACGTTATCTATCATTTTATAAGCCTACTTATTCAATAATAATTACAACTTTGAGACATACAATTGATAGCTACTTACAGAAAGTCACTGTCAATATTACAACTATTATTTTTATTCATGTTTCATGGATGCGTTTTGTAATAATTAGAAAAGTATAGGATTGTTTTATAAATATTTAATAATGTCATGTTATCTAATGTTAATATTTAATATTAAATAATATTAAATGATAAATAATAATATTAAATATTAAATAGTATTAAACATAACATCTAAAACATACTCTTAACATATACATATAATAATAATAATTATACAAATAGGAATTTGCACGTAAAACGTAATTTCATATCAAGATATTTCATATAATTTGTTATGCACATATTTTTAGGGCACTTATCTTTCCGAATAAACTATCTAACTATTTCATCAATCAAATTTATTAAAACTACTAAATAATAATTGATATTTAACCAAATTTGAAAGCGCAAAATACTATTATTTTTACCAAAAATTTCTCGAACTATATAACTTGGACACAGAATATATCGTTGTAACTAATATGTGACAGGTGCCGGCTGTTTCGAAACTACTACTTTGTAAATATATATGTAAATATATATACTTGATCCATATTTTAATAAAAGAGCAAGAGAGAGGAGGGACGGGAGAAAAGTAGAGTTGCCATATTAAAATTTTCAAAATTAGAACTTACAAGCCAAAAGCCCGGGACATTTCGGTTGCAATCGCGGACGTATACAAAAATGCGCTTAAATTAATAAAATTGATTAGAACAGTAAATGAATCACTATTTCACATCTAATTGTTCGTTAGTCATTTAGAGCAAAGAGAAATTTGAACTGGAAATAAATAAATACAGACTATTTTGATTAAAATACGTTTTATTATAGGTTTAATTTAAGTTTTATTAGGTATTAAATTAAAAATTTAATTTTTTTATGCGATACCTATTATTTGATAATGCAGAGTAATGCGAGAGGAATCAAAATATTTAAAAGCTTTCCTGAAACCCCGGACGCTTTCAAAAAATTCCCCTGGACGTCCCCGGACGTCCTAAAAAAGAGGACAGTGTCCGGGGAAAAGAGGACGGATGGCAACCCTAGGAAGGAGCAGTATTAGGCTTTTCTTTAATACAACGTGCACGCACAGGCACATATCGATACATCTTATCAAAGCATTTAATATAATAAAAGTTGCATTTTTTTACATAGACGTTATACAACACTATCACATTTGTTTCTTCATGTCGCACTTCTCATTTCAATAAACGTACAACTTCGACAACCGTTTTACACAAGAGACAATCTTCGTTAAACGTAGACACAAAATTTCTAATATACATCGACAATATAGCTGGTACATCAAGCATCTCAAACAAAATAGCGCAGGCGCACGCGGACAAATAGCCGCAAATACTTATTTCTCATGTCACGCAAAGCAATACCGTGCGACACGATAGGATCTCATTTGCTAAATATAATTTTCTCGCTTCATATATGTATGTGTATATGCGACCTCGCTAAGCTAGTAAACAAAATCTGTTTGTCGACATAACAGTCCAACATACAAACGTACACAAAAATTTGCTAATAGTTTTGCAACACATTTCCATTTGAATATCTCTAGATCTCAAATTTATTACAACGAGGTATTAAATTATTATATATATTTTATCGTTTTAAACAGATTTTTCGTCGAACAAAATTTAAATTAATTGATGCGGCATTGAGAATTCATTTTTTTACTAATTTTTATTTAATTTATAAAGACTTAACGATTTTAAACATAGTATAATAAGAAATACATATGAAACATCTTATGATAATTTTTTTTTATTCAAATATTTTGCAATTCAACATTCTATGCAAATATTCAATACAAAAAATAACATATTTAAAGTTAACGCTACTAACATAAAATATATAATTTTTTAGTTTATGACATCTAGTTAAATCAATTTCTATTAATAAGAAAAACTTGTTTACGTATACTTTCTTCAAGAACAATGTCGAGATTGCCAAGTTGTTTGATCCGTGACCACTTAATTCTTGTCGAAGCTTCTCTATCATGATAATTTTTGCAAAGATGTTTCGTTCGATGTTTTATTTCAAACATTATCATACAGCTTATGTAATGTAAAAAAAAAAAGAAAAGAAACAAATCATCTTGCATCAGAATTAGAATGAAATGAATTTAAATCTAGAAATCAAATATGTGGAATGATATTTTCGATATTTTCCATTTCTTCATTCGGAATAACGAAGAATAATGAAGAGAAACGCGCATATCAGATCTCGTTGGTATAACCACGAGATAGCGTTGTCATATAAACTGAAAACTCATAGAAAACTCACACGTAAGTTCTTCGTAAGAGTTTCCACTTGCGATCTCTTGCAATTCCCAACAAAATTGGTTCTGTCAAGCACCAGGCACCTTCACATAGACATAGCACATTCTCACGATGTTAAGACTCCTTCGTACTTGTCGGCACTCGCGCGCACGTGCACCATAGACTTCGTTATCACGACTACTACCGAATCCATTATACCTACTCCATTATCGCGACGCGTTGTTGCTCACCGAGTCACATATCGACAGCACGCACTTTCTTTTACGCGAGTGAGTCGTCCAGCCCTGAACCGCGCAACCCTCGAGGAGCATCTCTGGATGCGTTGATCTTTTGAGGCGGCCTCACGATCTTCGCACCCCTTTTCTCACCTTTTTGCGAGACAAATATTCGGTGAGTGTTTCTCGGATGAGGAACACTCAAACACACTCGTACAACTCGTCCCACTCGTCTTGAATCAGACGTAAACGGAAGTCGATGTGACTGAAAACGCTCGTTTCCACGTTCGCGTCAAGCTAAGCGACACGACAATCGCCGATTGTACATTCTAACATCCTCTTTTCACGGTCACGATCCCTCTTCGAACGAGACCGAGACACATTTGTTCACTCAAACTACATTGGATTCGTACGCATGAGAGCGATTTATTATCCGAGCTCGCATCCGGCCGTGATTCCGGACGAGCTCGCAATGTTTGCAATGTGAGAAAATTGGAAAGATCCGCTGCGCTGTCGCATGCGAATCCGAGCTTCCAAAACGAATCGGCGCAAGCTCCAAACCTGGAGCTTCGAACCTCCAAGTCGATTTTGCGATTATCTCTCTCTCCCGCCCTCTCCGCTCTTTCTCTTTTTCTCTCTCCCCTTTTCCATGGAGATATGTCAAACAAACCCCGGTTTGCAAGTTCCGCTTTTCCTCGGTCAGTATGAGTTGAACAGGCAGAAAATTTGTCTTTGCTTTTCTAAGACTATATTATCTGTCTTAAAGAACGATAGCTCGATCGGAAAGAGAGAGATGAGAGATTTCTCCACAGAAGAGAAGAGAGGCAGAAAGTGAAGAATGTCAGAATGTACACGTGCGATAGAAGGACGGAGATAATTAAGTGGAGATATGGGAGGAAAAAAAGAGAGAGAAAAAACAGAGGCAAACGAAGGAGAGAAAGAGGCACCTCGAGGCACACGCGTACTTAGCAAAGCTCGCAACGTGGCGGGTCGACCGCGACTGAATCGTTGCCGAGTCGACTGGGGTCGAGCTTGAATGAGCGAGCGTACCTCGGTCTCGCGAGTGGGAGAGAGAGGGAGACAAACGCCGGGCAAAAGGGACGAGGACAGAGGGGTAGATGTGTAGCGTCGAGGGAGAGCTTAAGCTACGACCAATGCTACCGGCGAAATTTTCAAAGACTCCTTTGCCTTGCAACCTTTAGAGGGATTCTCGCTTTTTCGGATGGCTTTGAAGCTGCTATAAGATCGCTTCTTTTACCTATCCTATTCCCGAGTTGAGCCGCTATCCAAGCCGTCTGATTGAAATATCAACAAAATAAACAAAATAAATTGTCACATTTATCGAAGCACATACGCGTGAAAATAATACATCAGACAAAACTGACAATTTTTTCGTAAAGATCGAAACATAGAATATGGAAACTGAAATGATTGAAATAAAATGCCCTTTGGGGTGGAACGTTCAGCTTTATTGATAATGCCTCAAGGAATGTCATTAATATATACATCGATAGTGATTAAAAGGAAACGTAATTGAGGGCGAGAGGGGGATTGGGGGAAAAAAAATCATATTCCTTCAAGGTACGATATTAACGACGTTTTTAACTATATTATGTTGTGATTTTGTAAAAAAAAAATGAAAATATTTATCATAATTATTCTTTATAAGGAATTCTTTATAAATAATCGCTAAACACTTACATACGGGTGCATGCAAAACAAATTTCTTCTATTATACATTATCTATTTTCAGAGATTAAAGTCAGACTATTAAAATCAAACTGCAAGAGATTACATATTATTGTCAAAAGTCTCTATATTGATTAAACATTTTTTATTGCTACTTTTAATGAATAATTACATATTACATTAATTCTAATATATGATTAATTCTCTTATATTTATCATTTCATATTTTATAATAACAACATCAATTCAGAGATTATATATTATGCTGTAATATCAATGCACACAAACATCAGATTTGATGCTTTCACTTTCAACAAGATATCACGGGCAGGAGCGCATGATAAATTACGTTCGTAATTAGCACGTAACCAGTATCTAATCGTGGTTTAACTAAAGCGACTAGATATTTCGAGGGCAATGACCAATTCCAATCAATATCTTGCGCATACATGAAGCGATACACATTTATTGAGAATATACGTACGACTCGGCACGCGAAGAAAGCACATAGGGATTGAAAAAAGAAAGCACTTTTTCTAAGAATTGTGCACTGCCAACCAAGATACCGGAACTTATTGAGTAGAAGTCGAAATTGCGATCTATTTCACTCAACGATCCAACGTGGGAAAGATTTCTTCTGGAACGTGATTGCGACAGCTGTGCACGCGTTAATATTAAATGACACTTAGCCGCGGAATCAACTACCGGCAAAAATGCTCCGGCAGTCTCGCGTGTCACCAACAAATAACCGACGATCAGAACTTTGCACTCTCACAAATCAAACTTCTTATTTTTTTATTATCGATCATATCAATGGTAAGTCAGTAAAAATTGCTTTTTCTTTTCTCTCATAAATATGTACGCTGTGATCAATGAATTTAGCCCATTTTATATTTTAGATTTGGACCATTCGCGTACAGAATTGAATCGTACAATCGTACATCAAATTATAAAGCATAAAGAGTAGATTAAAACTGTATATAATAATTGCAACAGCAATTACAAATCAGTGTTAGAATCTCATCGATGTGGTGTGAGAGGCATATTAATTTTGCTGCTTGCAGGATACTTTCAATCAATTGATAATCTTTTATTTTATACAATTAAAAATATTTCAATAATCGCTACAAGATTTATTTCTGCGTTCTTCTCGCGGTGACATTAGTAACAAGCAAATACTACGAGCAAATACTTTTCGGTGTAATTTTTTCAAACCTATTTGTTTAATTAAATCTCTGAACGTATATTATATAAAATATAAAATGTATAAAAAATCGAAATCAACAATGTCTATAATGATATTTCTGGAGTCCGTTTTGACGGTCTATTCTGTAACTCTTAATGACAGCATTGTTATCATCGTCGTTATATCGTCGTTGCGCAATTCTTCTACTATATATTATACTTGCGCAACAAACGATATACGATACTATCGTTACAGAGTTACAGAACAAGCCTATTGAAAAGAAAGATATATAAATGATGGATATTATCTGTATTATAGGTTGCTATGCTTATATCATGCTAGTTATTTGATACCTAAGCTATGCAAAATATTTTCTTGAAAACGAATATCTTCTGAGGATGTTAATGACATATTTTTTAATTTTGATAATTCTGATAATGAGTAAGCGAATAAATAAGGCGACATCTTTAAAAGACTATAAGTGTTCTCTGTAGGGAGCAAAATATTAAATAGTTTTATTATTATATATAAAATGATATACAATTAATAACTATATGCGATTGGTCTAAAATGGACAAAATTCATTAAAACTTTAAAACGCTTGTTTCTTTGTTTAAGAGTTTTCTAAGTTTAAGAGTAAATTTTTAAAACATCCATTTTTCCATATATACGAATTTCTTGAAACTTAGAAAATTTTTGAGATCGTTATTATGAATACGCAGATTCGACGCGTCCTGAGTGTATTCTTAGGTGTACCAGATAAGTATACTGATACATAAGCAAATTTTTGAAACTTCCCAAATGAAATTTTAAAAAAATTTGTTTTAATTTTAAAATTAATATAAAATTTAAATATAAAGTTAAAAAAATTTTGTATTTTTTTTTATTTATATAAAATTAATAATTAGTCACACTGTGTATCACTAGTTTTCATGGAAATTCGAATACATTTTGTATTTGGGCTTGAATCCACAATTTTGAATTTTGTCCTGAATCAATTTGAAATCAATGGTTCCAAAAACATACGAATACTGTCTTTCATGCAAGTTAGTCTATTTTTTGCAATTTCGATCATATTGGATACATTATTTTGAATTTTTATCTTCTTCTTTTTATTCAAAATTAGCAATCAATAAAATCCAAATATCAAATTTGATGTCATATCAAATCTGATATTTACTTTATACTGATATTACTTTTTACAATTTTGATCTACCATCTTGTATTTTTTTTAAATTTATAAATTTGGTTTCAAATTCGAAATTAGTAACCCCCAAAATTTTTGGATAGTTTTAATATATCTCGTATAAATAAAATTTTTTGCTATAATATATATTACACAAAAATAAAAAATCGTACTTTAAGTCGCGTAAGCTTTTTGCGAAATTTGGAATTTTTACTTCAGATTCATTTTAAATTTTTTACTTCAAATTCGGATTTAGCGATTCAAAATATTATTAAATATTATTAAATATTATTATGAAATTACAAAGAAAGTAATGTAAGAAATATTTTTCTTTTAATTTTCAAAAGGTGTGATGTATAGTGTATTTCATGTGTTAAAATAAATGTATTTCAAAAGGTTAAAATATTTCGCGCGCATTTCTGATTTCATTTATTTAGAAACTTTCAACGAGACAATCATATTTATCTCATAATGGAACTGCCTGCAAAACTTTTTTTTAATTAAAAACATGTGATAATACTAATATTCCTATGTAATGTTTAAGATAAGACAAGTAGATCAAGAATTATTAATGTTATAGTAAATTTTGTTATTGTACTTTGCAATATAATCAATTTTTGTGTGTGGCTGTTCCATTAATTCCGTTCCATTAATTCCATTTATTGCATAATAAGAATGTTTCCTATTTTTATTATAGTGAAAGTAGCAGTTAATTAAAAGCGAATGTTTGTTTAAGTGATAATGTTAGAAAATTTTATTTAGAATGTAAATGGAAATGTAAATAAAGCAAATTTATCTCAATTTAATCTTTCAATTCATTCAAGTTTTGATCATAGCAATAGTTTTCTAATTTAATGTTAATGTATTTTTAACCAGCCAGACAAAATAGAGACAAAATACAAAAAAATGAGACATGTACAAGTTAAATATTGAAAAAACAATTTTTCACAATAAATTTGTATAATTATAGCAAAGTACAATAATATACTATATCGTATGTATATAATTGACATTCAAAACGTTTCAATTGAAAGAATTCCTTTTTATTTCCTTATAACTTATAAACATAAATTCTCATCATAGAATAAATTTAAAAAGATTATAAGAAGAATAAGGTATATAAGTAAGTATGTATATAAATTTTTTATCACATAGTGAGAGAATGAAGTATCACCATTTTCCATAAAAGAAAAAAGTTGATAAAGGTTCATAGGACATAAATCTTTGATATTGTATTGACGACTTGACATACTGCTAAATTGTTTTGGCATAACATACTGACTGTTTTTCAACTCTTTGAACATTTACGTAACAGTTGCTCCATCGACATTCTATAGTCAGTTGAGTATCGACATTTCGGCCGAGAAATGAGAAACGTCGTTGATGTGCAAACAATGAATAGGTAACGTCCACTCACGATCGACTGCACGTCGTACTTCGCCACTGCATGCACATGTATCTTATCAATCGTCTTACATATTTATTTATAATCAATCATTCTGTCAAAATCCAATCTAAGACCCAAAACAGCATAGCTTCGTCATATCATTCCAAAATAATAATACCAAACAGAATAACAAAAGCATATTCAAGTATATATTGCTGCACATAAGTTATCACATTGTAACAATTTTACAGATTTTTATTTTTCTTTTCAAAACATTGTAGCATTTCCAATTTAATAAAGTATCTTAAAACACACACGCGCGTGCGCGTACACTTCAATTTATTATTATATAAATCTTAATTGTCATGCGAATCAGTCATTTTTGATCTATGAGAAATAACAGTTTCACAATTTTGAAAGTAACTACAAAACAATATGATTCATCGAAATGAACGATTTTTCAGGATTATTATTCAATATATTGTTTGTAATAATCATATTATTATTTATTTGTGAGAGAATTAGATAAATAAATCTAGATAGTAGGAAAGATAGATATTAAATAAAACATGCTATAAAAGCTTAGAAAGTTTAGTGAAATGTTTAGTGAAATGTTTAGTGTAGAAAAAGTTGATTTATTTTTATTCTTAGTAAGCCATAAAGTCTTTATGTTATTTCTAGTTTTTTAATTAAAGATTGTGATAAAAGTGCAAAAAATCTTACAAAGCACAAAAATGCAAGGTATATAGTTTGCTTATTTCGTTTTTTGTGTCGTTTTAGTTTGTGTACGTGTAGCTATCGAAAATAAATGCATTCTTCCTACTACTATGAAATACCTTATCTAGTCTATGAAATTATAAAGTTGAGCATAAACAAATTGTATCAATATTATCAAATGATTACATGAACGCATAAAATCAATAAAATATAATGGAGATTTAAATATTAAAATTTAAAATCATAAATCTATGATTCATAATTTTTAATTCTATTATTTGTTTAAAAACAAGCTAAGAGCAATGAGTTATTATACATAAATTATTGACAAATATAAGACAATATAGATTTTTCATTATAAATTTTTTTCTTGTTTACAGTTTATAGTTCCATTGTATTTTATGCTCAAAACAAATTACATACATCTATCACGAAATATATACGATTCGATTATAAAATTGTATACATTATTGTTATGATATATAGAATAAATTGAAAAAATCAATATCTATGAACGAGAGAGAGAGAGAGAGAGAGAGAGAGAGAGAGATACACATACCATATACATGCGCGCCACCCACATGCATGTATTACTTTGTTAACTGTTAACTTTGAAGCACAG